ATTCACAGTGATCTTTTCTTCCCATGTCCAAGTCTTCTTTTTTGTCAAAGATTACATCGTGGCTTACCACCACCTTCTTTGTCAAAGGATCATAGAGCTTGTATGCCTTAGAAGTCTCGCTTTTCTCGTCAGGAACGTGTGCATATGCTATGCACCCAAATATTCTAAAGTGATCTACTGCAGGTTTCCTTCCACTCCATGCTTCTTGTGGAGTCATATCTCTAACAGAGAAAGTAGGGCTCCGGTTGAGAATGTGAACAGACCACACAATAGCTTCTGGCCAGAATTCCTTTGGAATTTCTCTTTTATTTAGAAAATTTCAAACCATGTTGAGAATGATCCTGTTCTTCCTTTCGGTCACACCATTTTTTGTGGTGTATATGCTGCTGTCAACTGCCTCCCTATGCCTTTCTCGTCACAAAACTTAATAAACTCGTTCGAGCAGAACTTTCCACCTCTGTTAGTTCTTAAAGCTTTGACTCTTCTTTCAGTTTCTGCCTTCATAGTAGCACAAAATTTCTTGAAGCAATCAAAGGCTTCTGATTTTTTGAAGCGCAAGAAATAAGTCCATATTTTTCTACTAAAATCATCAATAAGGGTCATAAAATATTTCTTGTTACCATTTGATGCTGGAGAGACTGGACCACATATGTTTGAATGCACCAACTCCAAAATTGCTTGAGCTCTTCTCGGTTTTCCAGATGGAAAAGAATTTTTTTCATGCTTTGCTACCACAGCTCTCACAATTCTCTGTTGGAGGAGTGATGTCTGGCAACCCAATCACCATTTCTTTGAAGACAACATCTTTAACCCTTTAAAAGTGTAGATGACAATACCTAAAATGTCAAAGCCAATTTGGTATCTTCTTGTCGAAAATAAATTGTTCTGATACCAATTTGTAGAAAAATAAAGCTACTCCGATACCAACTCTTGAGAGAAAAAACGCTCGCTCTGAATCTAACTCGTTTAGATAACTCTCATGAAACTTTAAAGGGGGTGTCAAAAGGGGGAGAGACAAGGAGACAAAGAAGTTCTCAAAAGATTTTTTTGTAGTACACACCAACTCAAACAAGTTTGCTTTGCTACTCTCTGTTGTTATTTATTATTCTCACTTGTTCTTTTATCTCTGACGTGTAGTAAAGCCCTTTTTATAGTTTGTATAGAGGCTAAGTTTATCCCATCACTTTTCTCTCTCCCATAAGCCATTTCCCTCTTAAGTTAAAGTAATGGTTTTTTGACCGAATATAAAACCAAAACAAATTCATAATTTTTTTTTCTCTCTCCTACATTTAAGTTTATTTCAAGAACAAAACTCTCCCATAAACTTAATGCTCTATTTGATGGTTCCACCTATGCCGTTTTCGTTTTCTCGAGCTCAGTCGTGGTCTTTTCAACTTTCTCTTCTTGTCCTCGATCGGTAAACTAAGGTTGTTCTTCTCTGGTGAGACTTCATTTGGATTTTCTCGAGAACAACCCATTTGAGGCACCAACTCTTTATTTCTCCTGTTCTCAGCCACGCTGAACTCAGATGTCATAGCTTCGTTCACTTTACTCAATTCCCTTCGCAAGTCCACAACGACATTTTCCACTTCCATTTTTGCTTCCTCCATTTGAGCTTTATCACAAGTGATTATCTCAATCGTGCGTCGTAAACTCACTGCCTCCTGTTGGACTCGATTCAGATTCACATCAACTAAATCTCTCTGTTGAGTTAACATCTCTACATCTTTCTCCTTCAATTTCGAATATGAGTGGGCCGCCAAATCTTCAATAATCTTACCAGATTCATTCAATAACCTCTTAACAAATTTTTCTCTTTCAACAGATTCCGATTCATAATCTCACTCTCCATCCTTTTAGTTGACAACTTCTTGCATTTCACCTTCAAGTCCTTTGTCTCTTCCAAAGCTCTTTTCTGATTCTTCTCCATTTTAATCATTTTCTTTCTCAAATCTCCTATTTCCTAAAACAATCCATCAGAATTAGCCTTAATTTCATCCCTCTCATAACAAACCTTCGTCCATTTCTCCCTTTCTTCCTCAACTTTCAACACAAGCCCATTATTCTCATCTTTTAATCTCCCAATCTTCACATTCTTCAATCTCTCACTCTCAACTAACCTACAAATCCTATCTCCCACTTCATTCATTTGACTCTATTTCTTATCGTCGGCATTCTTCTTCAAGTGGAGCTCCAAACCCTCTTTAGCCTGAACCAGAGCTCCAAACTCCTTTCTCTTCTCGTGTGTCTCCTTCAAAAAATGCTCGTTCAGTGATTTCAACATCTGCAACTGAGACTTCTCCACAGATTTATCCATGACAGTTTTGAGTTGTTGCTCTGAATCTCTGTTCTCCTCCTCATGATCTGGCAGTTTCATTGGCTCGTTCGCTGGTCGTATGGGTTTCTTCTTCGTCATTGTTTTGGGATTTTCAAGGGAATTTAAAGGGATTGCAGCTTGTTGGATTTCAATAATCGGCCGTGAAATCCTTTATTTTCGGTGAGAGGAAATTGTCGACAACAGGTTGTTGGAAGGAAAATAAAATGCGTAAAATAAGAAGAGAGAGAATGATGAAATTTTGACTGCCCCTTTAATTCAGGTTGTGAAAATATTGTGAACAGATTTCCTATTTAAATATAACCTATCCTAAAAATGGCGGGAGAGTGTGCCACTGAATCTGTGCCACTTCCTACAAAATTGCCGTCTAAAATTTCATTAATCCATTCGACGTGTTTGTCAAATGGTCAAACAGATAATTAATGTAATCGTGTGAATCTAAATAAGGGAAAACTCAAGTTTTATCTAACACAGCTTGCATTTGAATCATTTGTTTCTCATGTTCAATTTGCATTTCTGTCATCCTTTTTCTCCATTCCATTCTCTTTCTTCTTTCTTCCTCAAATTCTCTTTCCTGCCATTGGAGCTCTCTCTCTTCGAGCTCAGGCTCTCTGTTATTCGGTTGTTCATCCTTCTTCGATTTTATCATCTCCGATACCGCGGTTTCGCCAAATCCGCTGCGTATCACTTCATTTCTAACAACTTCCACTACCTCACGACTATCGCCATTGTCTTCGCACCGCCGTCTCCTTTTGTATTTGTCTCTTTGTTTTGGGCCATCAAGAGGATGCCTCCATTTGTTGTGTCATCCAAGGCTAGGTTGATGGATTCTTCCACCTTCTCTTTGGTTCGACAATCTCTTGCATAGTGACCCATTCTGCCACAATTGTAACATCTGTCGGAGTTACAATTATTTGCATAGTGGTCATATTTCTGACATTTATAGCACTGGACGTTGAAATTGTATCCTTGACCGCACTCTTGATTGCGTCCTCTTCCACGCCAATTTGCTTGGCTCGACAGTCTCTTCTCATGGTAGTTTTCTTCGTGACTATTGCCTTGAGTAGCTCGACCATTCCCGCGGCTTCCACTATCTCTACCTCGAAAATTCTGTGAGTAGAGTATCTTTCCATCCTTTATTGATGCCTTCTTTTGAAGCGCTTGATCGAGCGGCTCCTCCTCCTTTTTCTTGCGTTGCTCGTGTGCCTCGAGAGAACCGGCAAGCTCATCGACTGTGAACTTCGCTAGGTCCTTCGACTCTTCTATGGCACACACAACATTCTCGAAGTTGTCTGTTAACGACCTCAAGATTTTCTCCACAACCTGCGTCTCGGGTAACATTTCTCCGTTTCAATTTAGCTGATTCGCCACGGTCTGTACACGTGTAATATAGTTAGATACATTTTCTGACTCCTTCATCTTCATGCTCTTCAACTTGCCACGTAGAGTCTGGAGACGCACTTGCTTGACTCGGGCGGTTCCTTTGAACATCTTTTCTAGAGTGTCCCACGCTTCTTTTGAAGTAGTAGCCCTTGCAATCTTCTCAAAGCCCGACTCGTCAACAGCCCGGAACAACATGTATAATGCTGCTTTATCCTTTGACCGTAATTCCTTTAGCCCCTTGTTTTACGCCACCGTATAACCCGTGGTATCAATCGGTTCTTTGAAAGCGTCTTCGACCACCTCCCATGCGTCTTGCAAATCAAGAAGAGCTTTCATTTGGATGCTCCAATTCTCGTAGTTCGTCTTCGTCAATCGTGGTAGCGGCATTTGTCCCATCATGTTCGCCATCAGCTCTGATACCAATTTGTAGAAAATAAATTGCTCGGATACCAATTTGTAGAAAAATAAAGCTGCTCCGATACCAACTTGAGAGAAAAAATGCTCGCTCTGAATCTAACTCGTTTAGATAATTCTCACGAAACTTTAAAGGGGGTGTCGAAAGGGGAGAGACAAGGAGACAAAGAAGTTCTCCAAAGGTTTTTTGTATTACACACTAACTCAGACAAGTTTGCTGTGCTGCTCTCTGTTGTTGTTTCTTGTTCTCGCTTGTTGTTTTCTCTCTCTTATAATTTTTTCGAGCTAAGTTTAGCCATAACTGCCCCCATCACTATTCTCTCTATTTCTCAGTAATGGCTTTTTCACCGAATTTAAAACCAAAACAAATTCATAATTACTTTTTTTTTCTCTCTCCTACATTTACATTTAAGTTTATTTCTCAACACTTTTTTCTTCACCATCAAACTTCTAGCAACTATATTTAGCTTCAATGGATATAAGCGATTCGTGGTCATCTGTATCTTAGCAATCGATCCTCTTCTAGAGTCATAAATCTCACATTCATTATTTTGAAATGTGATCACATACCCCTTTTCTTGCAATTGACCAATACTAAGCAAGTTGACCTCCAGATCAGAAATGTAGAACACATTAGAAATTGATTCTACAAAGCCATTTCTAGTCTTGATATCTACTGTTCCTTTCCGATCACTTGGACTGTTGCATTGTTGCCAAGACAAACAGTGGTACAAAAATTTTCATCTAGAGTTGAGAAGAATTCCTTACAACCTATCATATGGTTGCTGCATCCAGAGTCTACGACCCACACTCCTTGATCTGCAATCTTCATTGCATGGAATGACATTAACAATGTTTCTTCTTCTCTTTACTCTGCAAAGTTAGATTGATCTCTTTTCTCCTTTTTGAGCCTGGTATAACATTCATTCTTGTAATGTTCAGGGCGTCCACATCTGTAGCATTCCACCTTAGACTTGTCAAAATGTCTCTTACCTTTGTTGTCATAATCGTCTCTGACTAGATCTGCTGACTTGCCAACGTATCCATTTTTTTCTCGACCGCCTCTTCCATGACCTCTGCCTCTTCTTTGCCCTCTACTTCTGGAGCTTGAAGCTTCACCTGGTGTGGATATCTTTAAGGCTTTTATCTCCTCTATTGCACTTGTGTGATTAAGCTTCTGCTCATGCACTAGTAAGGAGCTTTGAAGTTCATCTATTTGCATTTCTTCGACATTGTTTGCTTCTTCAATAGAACATACAATATAATTGAACTTTGGAGTTAGAGATCACAAAATCTTTTCTACAACTGCAACATCCGTGATTGAAACACCATGCATCCTCATTTTACTTGCAAGACTCATAACCTTGCCAATATAATCATTGGCCATTTCTCCCTTTTGCATTTGAAAATTTTCAAAGTCTCTTCTAACTGCTTGAAGTTGAGCATGCTTTACTCTCGTTGAGACTTGATACTTCCTCCTCATTGAATCCCCAATTTCCTTGGATGTCTTCTTCTGAAGCATCGTTTCCAATATAGTTCGATCAATGGACTGGAATAAGTAATTCTTGACCTTCAGGTCCTTCAACTTCGATGCTGCCAACCGTTGCTGTTGAACAACTAAGAGTACCTCACCTTCATTTGGCTCTACACGTCTCCATCATATCAAAGAACTCCTTTGATCTGAGAAAATTTTCCATCAACATCGCCCAATGATCATAGTGACCATCTAATCTCGAAATGGCGGGCTGAACATAGTTATCAACTTGTCTTTCTGCTATCATTCTTGTTGTTGCAAGATCGCTCTGATACTAGTTGTTGGTGACAACAGAGAAATTTAGTAGAATTCTTTGGGACAAGAGAACTTTGTATAACTATGAAGGAATACTTAATTGATTTTCTACCTCTTCCACCAATGCCAACATACATACATATATATATATATATAGGTAATTTGGGACATTCCCCAATACCATTCATTTTATCCATAAGTCATGTACCTAATTAATTATGAACTAATAAACCTACATTTATCTATTCATATATGTATTTATAAGTGACCCTTCAACACATGTATCTACAAGTGATCCTTCAACACTTTTAATAAAAAATTTGCACCAGAATGTTGATTACCCGACACCATTTCATTGTGACAACCAATCTACGACTTGCTTAGTAGAAAATTTGAAGTTTCATGCTAGAACAAACCATATGGAGGTGCACTACCAATTTATTAGAGAAAAAGTTTTAAAAAAGGAAGATGACCAAATGGCATATTTGTCTTAAAAAAAAATACTAAATACGCACAAATGTGAGAGTTTTTATTGTGAACTCAAACGAAGATTCTACTTTAAATTTTGAATTTAGTTTTAGTTTAATTTCTATATTACAAGATTTTACACTTCTACTCCAAACAACACTCATTTTCGTCATATATGTAGATTTTGTATTAATTAACTCAATTCTTTTAAACTCATTGATAATTAATTTAGTTTTCACTATTTATTCCTTCCTATTAAAGTTAATTAAAAAAATCTACACTATAATTATTTTAAATTAATCAATTGAAAATTAACACCCATCAAAAGTGAGCATAAAGTTTAAAATTAAAACTAAACTCCAAATAATTTGGAGTAGAAATACAAGCATAAATCAAATATACACGTGGCTCCAAATTTAGGTATTTTCCCCTAAAATAATAATAATAATAATAAATAAATAAATAATTGGGTTTAGTACTATATTGTACGGCAATCAGGTTTGAGTTTAATAATTTTTGGAATCCAACTTTCCATATTTATTTTTTTATTTTATAAAAAAGAAAAAAAAGAAAAAAAATTGAGCGAAGGAAGGAAGCTTCCGTTGTCTCAAAAGTGGTGCGATTTTGTCCCAATTTCAAGATTGGGCGGCTGGCTGATACCCAAATGTTCCTCAAAATTATAATACACGTTAAACGATAATTAAATTTAATTCCAGCTTGAAGAAGTAATTAATAATTATAATAATAACGGTTAGACAACCATGATCCTCCATGATGATATGACATTGTCGTTTTGAGCGTAAGCTCTCATGACTTTATTTTGGGCTACCCAAAAGACGTCGTTACAATGAAGAGAGTCTTTTTTGTTTATAAACCTATGATCATTCCCTAAATGATCATTCCTTAAATTAGCAGACGTGTAACTTTCATCATCAAACAATGACAACTTAATTACATTCAAGAATCCCATATAGAATGATGCGTCGTGATGTTATCCTCCCCCTCATCAAACCCCGACTCTTCCTCCAAACAAACTGCCTCCGCCTCCGCCGCCATCTGCATCCACATCGTCCTCGGCGAATCCAACGGCGACTCATTTATCGCCTGTATCTCACTCTCCGACAGCCCCACTCTAAATGGCGCCGCCCCGACCGGGTTCCTCATTCGCAATGCAGCCATCTGCGCCGCACTCTGAATGTCCTCTGCCCTCGAACTCTCAGGCCGGGGGAAGGTCTCGGCCAGCTCGGGGAAGTTAAGCTGGGCGTTACGTCCACGGAGGTGGAGTGCGGCGACGTCGTATGCGGCAGCGGCCATCGCCGGGAAGTCGTAACTGCCGAGCCAGATTCGGGTTTTTTTGCCGGGTTGGCGGATTTCCGAGACCCATTTCCCCCATTTGCGCTTACGAACGCCTCTGTAAGTGGGTTCCATGGGAATTAAATAAAATTTAAAAAAAGGGTTAAAAGTGAGTATTTTTTTTCTGAGAGTGTGAGGATTTTGAGGTGTTTAAATAGAGTGAAAGGGACAAATTTGTGGATCATGAGAGTGCGGTTTCGAGGTAGCTGCTAGAATGAAGTTGAAACATGCTGTCATTTGGAACACAAGCACGTTTTGTCTTGTCTTTCATTTTAGGTCAAAGCATGACACGGGTTTTACTGTCTCTATTCTAATTTTTATTTTTCTATAAAGTTAAGGTTGAGTGTCTTACTCGAGCAGCTCAAGAGATTTTACCTAGACTTGTGTTATTAGAAATTGGATTAATATTTATTTAAAATTTAAAAGAAAAAAAATGGAATTATTAGAAAAGGAATTTAATGGTTGAATTATTGTGTACGTGTGTGTATTGTGTTAATTATTGGGGTGTTTGGTTGTATTTATTTATTTGGAATGAAAAAATTATATGAAGAGAAAAGAAAGGTAGTGCTATTTTATATTTAATAAAATCAAATTTTGTGTCTAATAAATTCGAAAATTATAAAAAAACGTACAAATGGCTAGAGCATTTGTTTCCAAAATCCAATAGAATAGTATATTTGATTTTTGTGTGATAATAACGATAAAATTTGTTTGAGAATAGAAGAACGTGATTTGTAAAACAAGAAGAACCTACATGTCAATATAGTGCTTTTCAAACGATGACGAGAATTGAGCTAAACCAGGATTGTACGAATGGCTAATAAGGACCAACCTCGACGTCAAGCTAAGATCAACAAGCCCATGTTTCCGTTTTCTCTTTTGTTTGGTAGCTCAGTTTCCTTTATGCATTAATCTTTTTATTCCGTGTTGGATTTTTTTTTTTTTTTTGCCCATTTAATCTTTGATTTTCCTTATATTTTGTGTTTATTCTTACCGTCAAATTTCACCCGTAGCTTTAGCCCGTAATCCCTAGTTAAGATTCATAGTGTTGTGTGCCAATTGACATATTAAACTATGATGTCGTGTGTATCAATGACATAATAAACACACATATCTAATGATAAAGTCATAAAGAAGAAGAAACAAAAATTAATCACCATCTTCATCATTCGTGTGTGTTTTCTTCATGCCGACCAACTCTACCTCCCCGCTACAAATCTCCATCAGTAGCATCCTCGATTAGTAGCAAGCCACGACGTAAACGTTAGGTTATACCTCAAATTTTCCTTCATGATTCCTAGTCCTTTTCTCCATTAAACTCATTAATTACTTATTTATTCTTTTAAAAAATAGAAATATACATTCAATTAAAAATTAGTCGAATGAACCCAAAACTTGAACCCAATCCAGTTGAGTTCTAGAAAATTAACCCAACTCAATTTTGATTGTTTCGAATTTTCAAATTGGATGTGTACCTCTACTATTAAAAATATGTATAGGTTGCTACCCGCTATTTCATTTTCTCCTCATTTTCAACGTGTTTATAAATATATATATATATATATATATTATTATATTTTTTTTGAATTTTTGGGGAGGGAGTGAGTGAAACAGCTGGAGCAAGGTAAGTAGAAAAACATTTGAATTTTTGTGCGTTTAATATTGGAATGGTACACACAAGAAGCGTCAAAAAGGCATCATTAATAGTCAACGCACCGCCAGGGTGATCCGACCATAAACCGTACGCTTTCCGCGTCCACCGGTTGTTCTACTTCACCGTACCTACAAAATCTTTCCTTCCACCAACCTCACCCTCCGACTATAATTAATTAACCAATCATGAGTTATTCATTTAATTTTTTTTTTATTATGAATAATATGCTCAAGTTCTTTCAATGCAACGTCACATCTCATTTTGTCATTTTAGTTCTTAATTAACATGGCTCATATGTCTTGACGTCATTTCAAGTAATTGGGTGTCATCGACCATCACAGCTCACTCGATCATGCCATCGAGAATGGGCCCAAATGTCGTTCATAATATCGAGGCATCCTGAACATCCATCCATTTAGGTTCTATCGAGGTATTGGTCCTCCCGTGCCCATGTCATGTTATTTACGGATAATGTACTAGATAATGGGTGTAAAATTCAACCTTCAATATGTGGGAAGGGCACAATATTGGCACTCTTGTGTCACCCGATACTAGTCTTAAAAGATCCATTTCAAAGGAAGTCGCGTGAGACACTCGCATCGAAACGCTCGCCCTCACTGTGACACATGCATGTGCCATAAGGTAGTTTACGCCCTTTGAAACCTTGACTTTCAAGGTTAAGCCCTAAGCCCTATCCGGCCCTTTAACAAGCCTATCTGTGCCGCTCATGTCTACTCATTGTCCTTATCTTGCTTATGCTTGTTTCCTCTTCAATGAATACATTATATGGTGTGTTGGATGATGCATTGTCCTCCTCAGTCGCATCATGACATTCTTCTATATTAGCCCTCACGTGGTCAGATGGACGCTTCTTGAGGGTCGTCGCTTTGCTTGACGCAACGTAAGGGTCACACCCTACTACTCTTTTCATAGTATGAGTTTGACATTCTCCCCTACTTAAGTCAGTCATTATCCTCGATGACTTTCTTAGGGCACAATCACATCGCGGATTGTGACATTCTCCCCCACTTAATCTCGATATCATCTCGATGACGATTCAAACTTTGGGCTACTGCTGACTCGACCCGCTGGAACTGATCATGCTTTAGACAAGTATAAATTCACTAAGCATCTGACTTCTCTTCCGTCATAATGCTTATCTTACTGACACCTCTTGATCAGCTTGGGGAGAAGTTCGAGTTGATACTTTTGACTTCTCTTTTATCATATGGCATCAAGTTATAACTCTTCTCTTGTT